TTTGCATTCTCTCTCACTGCTCCAGAAGATCTGAGTTTATAATGAAAGTGATTTATCTCTCATCTTTTCCAAACTGATCCTTCTAAATTAAGGCAGAGATATTTTCACTCCACTTGATGTGAACAGTACTTGATCTTTCAAATCTCAACTTTTCTGTAAACACAGAGCCTTGTCAAACTATTTTATTTAGTTGTAAAACATTTAAAGCAAGTATATAGATTAGATACAGGCAGAGGATTGAGACAAGTGCATTTAGAGATGAAATAAAATGAGTTATCAGAATACAGTGGTATAGAATTCAGAATACAGTAGTACAGGAATAAATTACAGTAAAATTTCTTACAAGATTTTCATTTTAATGATTACTTTGGCTAAGTTTTTGGGTTTGATTTTTCTTCTTTTTGTTTAAGATTTAAAGCTGAGCTAACTGGACATGAAAATATTATAATGTAATTTCATTTTTATAGGTAAACCAAGATTGGTTTGTGGTTCACCTCAAAGTTGATAAATTCATAAACTGTTTTAAATTACACAGAATGCTTGTCCTGTATTGTTACTCCTTCTTTGTGCTTAGCCAAATTATAACCTGTTTGAACTTCACAATGCATCTTTTGTACAACTGCTGTTGAACTCAATGGACACAGAGCTGTGATAAAACATTCTGATTGAATAAAGAAGTAAAGTACACAAAAACCTAGGTCAATCTACTTTAAAGATGAAGGTTACTTCCCCCCTACATTCGGTCTGTTCTGGGTTTTTTTAGAATATATATTTTAACAGAAAATGTAGAAGGGTAATACGTGTATAACATCATTATAGGACAGCTAACTTTAGGAGATAATGATAAGTCATAATGTACTCTCCTTGTCAGGAATGTATCATCTTCCTTCTCCAATGGAAGCACTAATGAAAGGAATGTGGAGCATATGAAAAACACCACCTTCTGCTATACAAATTAACTGTCCTCCCTCTATCCTGAATTACAGTGCTCATGCAGCTTTGATTTATTTCTACAGAATGAGCTGATCAATGCCCTAAGCCCCCAATTTCCCTTGTTTTACAGGATAACACACTAAACACCTTTGTCCTTTGTTCTAGACAAATGTGCTTTACAGCTATTTTGTTCTACCAACTGGGCAAGTAGCAGCTTTCAAAGTTTAAACTGAGGAGAGTTTTTACTCTGAGCTCCAATCTTGTTCTATTTTAATACATGCTCAGAGTTATCATCTCGGGCCAGATCCTTGCTGTTGAAATTAGCATAATGTGATTACCTGCAATAGAACTGCACCAACTCGTGTTGCAGAGGTTCTGCCCTGAGGTGTAGCAGGGTTTACAATGCTATTTAATCAGGATTTATACACAGACCATCTTTGGTGCTTAAACAAAGGAGAATGCACCTTAGCAAGTATGTTAGGCTTGAAACTCACAGCCCCCTGGCAGCTCAGATCATTAGAGCTCATTTAGTATTGGGCCCTCTGTAGATTTGACAAAAAAAGGTACTGAAAGCAATTTATATCCTTAAGGACAAAAAGGAGGTCAAGGAGTTTTCTGAACAATGTGTACCATGAAGTCCCCAAAGAGCCATGAATTACACTTATGAAGTTAAATGTCATTGAAAAATGACTCAACCAGGAAAGTGACAAGAAAACCACCCTTAACTGAACCTAATTTGGCAATTTCATTTGTGTCCCCCCCAAAGTAGGCTGAATGAAGCCTGACAAATACCCCACTTCATCTTCTGTGCAAATTTGTTAATAGAAAAACAGTGTTTATGCTGCAAAAATTGTGCATCAAAAATATTGATTTTGGTGTCACTTTCATTTCAGGTAAATTGTTTGAACAATATAACCATGATGAATATCAGAAATAAAAAGCTATTGGGAAGAAAAAAAAAATGCTGACCCACTTATTCTAATTCAATATCCTAGTTGGAAAATGGCAAATGAATCAACCTTTGCCATTCCTTTTGGAAGTTCAAATCAATAGAGGAGATTTCATATATTACATAGAGATACAGAAATATTATATCTATCATTCTACCATTAAAAGTGTAAAATTTATATTCCTGCAAAAACCTTAACTAAGACTAGATGATTAATTAGACAGACACCACTTCATAGTGTACCCTTTCTCCCACAGCTCTCAAACTAATGTGAGAAATATACAAAAGAAATGGAATTTTAGTGTAGAAACATGGTGGCTGATATTTATTTATTTGAAAATTAATTCATTGACTTATTTATTGCCCAATCATACATGCAAAAGGTTGCTTTAACCTTTCTTGTCATGTTATTGGCCCCTTCCAAGTTTGCAATCAATACCTCTTGCCTTTGTAATCAATTTATCTTTTTAGGAAGAAACATATCCTTCCAAACACACTGTTGGTTAAATAATGTCTATCTTTTCCTCTCACATAGCCATTCACCTCCCAAAAAGCTCTGTTGACTGATTGTTTTGTTGTGTTCCCAATTTTGGCTGGAGTTAACCCAATACCTTTGCAAAAAGGCCTGCACTGGCTTTTTCTAGAAACTTCTCTGGAGCTGCTGACGTCTCTGCTTCACCATTCCAAACATTCACCTGAGGATAAAGATGGATTAAGCACTACAGGAGCCTACTTCTCTTACAGGAGTTTGGGGATCCAAGGTAGATAGATCCATGGGGATCCATGGCCCAGACACAGCACAGCCATTCTAGAGAACTGAAAGCAGAGAGAATTCCTTTCAAGTACCTGAAAATAACAATCAAAGTGAGGGAGGAATGGTTTGCAAGGTAAAATTTCCTGAATTAAATGAAACAAAGATCATTTCAGGCTGTCTACCATAATCTTTTTAATAAAGCAAGCATTTATAACAACAGAAAATATGATGAAATGTATCAAACTTAATGAGACCAAGCCAACAATTGCAGCTAGTACCAGAAAGAGAGGTCCTGCAGTCCTGGGGAATAGATTGGGTACTGTAGAGCAAGTTAAAGACAGTATTTTTCATCTTTGATTTTCATGAGAATGATAGTTAAAGCAAGGCATTTCAGATAATTTTTGAATATCTCCTGGTATCACACACTCAGGGTGAACTGAGAACTATTAATTCTAAGGGGAAAAAAGATATTATAACATTTTCTGGATATAGTTTAAAATATAATCCATTAAAAACAACGCAAAACCTCTTGGCTTCAACTGAATTCTGGAGAAAAGCTCTAACAACCAGTGTGGAAGGAGGATTTAGTGGAAGAAGGTGACAGGAATGAACTGAACAAACACCAGCGAGGATCCTTGGTTTCTTTGTTTTCTTTCTTTTACCACAAGTTCACTCAGATTAATGCAGAATCTTGTCCTAAAGGTGACAGCCGTGGTCCTGAGAATAAAAGCCTTTAAAAATAAAAGCCTTTAAAAAGCCTTTAAAATGGTTTGTTTATCTACAGTTTTCTTCCCTTTCTTTTCTGATGGGAGAGAGAGCTGTTTACTACAGGGTAAGATGAAAATTGATACGCACAGTATCAATACAGATCTGCAACCCATTCAGAATAACCCAGAGAGACTCCTCAGTCCTCATAGCATGACAGCCCAGCCCTATCACTTCAGTACTCAAGCTGCTTCTCTCTTTGGAGGATTAATAAACTCTGGAGCACAGTAATATATTTTAAAAAGAAAAACAGTCCAACTTACATTGTGCATTCCAACAGGAAACTCTGTGAATACAACCATTATTGAGCTTAATCTATGAGCACATTTTGCATGGGTTATTTAAAAAAAAAATCATTCTACATACTCAAGGAATTTGACACTTTCAATCTGAATAGCTTTTCTGCATTTTAAGGACAGTTATTGTTTGTGTGTGCCATCTACCTTTCCCTAATCCCATATGATTGCAGCCACAGGAGTAATTTGCCCCACATTAAGTCTGTAAGTAACATGGATATCCAAGTCTTTCAAGTATTTTTCATCAGTTTCTGCATTAACAGTGATTGATATGTGCTTTGTGTGAAGTTGAAGCTATGCAATTTTGTTGACCACTGCTTCTTTTTCCTCTGCATTTCACATTTAAATTGATCGGTAAACATAATATACAATAAAAGATTTTTCTTTGCTCTTCAACAAAGGAATTATTCAGGTTTACTTGTGGCAGACACTCTTAATACTGCAAAGCAATGTATACAGAAGGCCTGAAGTTTTGTCTGAACTCTGATAGATCAGTAAAATTGTGGTGGACTAAGTTTTTATCCTCTTTTACCTGCTACAGCAGTTTTATGCTTAGATTTTTATTCCATTCTTTCCTTTTTTCCTTAAAAAAAATTGCCATTAAATAACTCCCAAACCCAGAAAACAAACTAACAACAGAAAAAACAAATATCCTACCTTCCTCACAGTTTTCTCCTTTATAGCCCACAGAACAGACACAGTTCCCTTCGATGCAGGAGCCATGACCTCCACATGAGGGGTCAATGCACTGGCTGGTGGGCACATCACATTCGGGACCTTTCCAGCCACTGTAGCACAAGCAGGTGCCTTTGGAGTACTGACCATTGCCACTGCACAGAACGGGGCAGGCAGCTGGAATGAAAATGGAATGAAAGAAAAACCACACACAGGGTCATGCATGTAGTCATGTAAAAGTGCACTAAAAATCCACTATCAAACACTTACACTCAAATATATTCAGTTACTGGGGAAAAAAAAAACAACAAACTGATATAATTTGTAGTGGTTTATTTCTTCATTTCCCAAAGAAATAATTTGGGAAATTATTGTAATTTAATATTTATAATAATTATAATTTAATAAAGCACATATGTGTTGGGCATTCTGAGAATACAACTCCTATTCTTTGGATAATACTGATAATGTTTGGGATAACTAATGAGGTAATGTGAACATATTTGAGTTTGACATTACTCTGCTTTGTTTCTCTAGGTAACATCCAATTTTCATAGATAGAACACAAAACATTCAGTCCCCACAACTTATTATATGATATCTTTCTTCTACCATAACACTTCTTTAATGTAATGTCCCCAAACTTTTTTAGACCCTTTGGTTTTCAGTGTAAGAATCTTGAACACAAGAATGACACAGGCTTTCAGCTACTACAAATGCACCTTGCCACCACTATCCCTGCTGAGCCTTGTTTCCCTGGATCCCAGGGACAGCTTTTATCTTGTGTGTACTGGCAAGAAAGCACCATTAACCCTTACCCCTCACTACAGTGTTATTAAGGGGGTAAGACATTCTGAGCAAATATTCATTTATGCAAATGAAGTGAAGCTATGAATAATAAAAGTTGTCATTAGGTCTTGGGTGCCAGGAATCAGATGTTCTACATATGCAGAGCAATGGAAAGAAAGAAGTGGTTGATTAAAACCCAGGTGCATATAAATGTTTCACTAAGTCATATTGACTCCCATGTGCTCATGTCTCCCTTGGGAACATGGCAATCTGTGAACTTCTGTGCCTGTCAAAGATTGGGTGTGTGGTCACTAGCCAGATAAATGGAAAAAATAACAGAGAAATAACACAAAATGGGAGTAATGAAGTGAGTCTTTAAAAAAAGCTTGGAGCACTTTTGTGCTCTTCTCTCTGATGCAGTTTGATAAAGACAGAAAAGTATTTCCTTGTCTTTTCCTTCTTCAAAGTAATTAGAAATGAACACCCAGTGTTACAGTGCCAAAAATATACTCAAAAGCTACTATTAATCATTAAAAGGTCCTAATGTCTTCTTGGCTTCTATTATCCCTTTAACCCCAATGATCAAGAAGAACCCAAGTAATTGATTTCCTACAAAGAAATGTGCAATGGTCCAGTTATTCAACTTCTCCATTGTTCAGCCCAGCAACCCTTATTAATCTTAGCTGTCCCATTGATCTGCTGCAAAAACACATTTCAGGACAGATTTTTTTGTGAATTTTTTTTATTTGATAGGTGAAAAAATTGATCAGAAAAAATAAAATTCAGATTTCTAACCTGAAATGTCAACAAAAATTTAGAGTGCTGAGAATCATTTCAATTAAAATTACAGATTAATGGGCTGCATGTCATATAATATGTATAACATTTTTTGGCCTATTTTTCCTTTTACAGTAGAACAATATAAAAATTGGTATGCTGAAGTTTGGGGTTTGCTACTGCTCCTATGTCTTAGGTCCATGTTATCCATCCTTTGGTAGCAAGAGGATTTCATTCTATTGCATTCTTGGTGTTCTCTCTTACTATAAGTTTTGTCCAGTTGCTTTCTTATGCACTGCAAAAATGAACAGAAATTTGAATAAAATATAATTTCCATCAGCAGCTGTAGGTGTAGCAGAATGGATTACAAGTGACCTCACCCCTGGTTAATTACCAGAGAAGAAGGACAGCCTTGCCCTTAATGTGACTAATAAAGGTAAGTGTGCTAAAAGGGGTGGGCTGGCTGGTCAGAGAGAGCCTGGGGGTGGAGGAACCCTGAGGAACAAGGAAAGGAGGTGCTGCTGCAGGAGCTCTGCTGTGAGTTAAGGCTGGCTCTGATGGAGTTGGAGCCTGCTGCTGGAGCCTGCAGCCACACTCAAGCCTCTGTAGCCAGTGGCAGCAAGGAAATTCTTGCAGCCATATTCCAGCAGGAATAGTCAGAGTCAGGATGGCTAAACTGTAGAGAAGAATAAATTGGGACCCTTTCCATGTTGTTTAATGAGAGTCTGTGTTTTGGCTCATTTCTACCCCTAATGAGAGGTCTGCTGCAATAAGCAACATTTCTGTTTCAGATGTGATATATGTTCACAAGTGCTTTACTGAGTTCAGTGAAAAAGTTGATGCTAAATTTCTGCTGGTGTCTGAGCTAAGTTTACTAAGCCAGCTGTATTGAAATACCACACAGACAAATTGTCCCCACACTGCTCTCTGGGACAGTCTATCTTACATATTTTTGCACCTCAGCATCAAACACCTTTCCATGATGTACCACACACTGAACTAACAGCAACTTGAATGTTGTATGACTGTTCTTTCTGCTGCATGTTCCCCTGGGGAGCCTGGCTCAGCTCCCAGCACAGCCTTTCCCTGTGCAGGTGGGCAGCTCCTGCAAGTCACCAGGTGAGCCTGAAAGAAAGGGGTCAACCCAGCACCACTTCCACTTTTGGGACCTGTAATTCTGTGCTAGACACCTGCTGTAAGATCACTTCTCTGCTTGCTTTGTCCCTAAGTCTCATTAAGCAATGGGTAACTGCAGTCCAGCTAAAGGTGATGTGTATCTGCTATTTGGAACTTGTCTGTGGGGAAACCATTCTCAGCTCCTGCTTTTGACCTGGATTTGCATGGTTCAGCTTCTGGGATACCAGAGCCTGGCATTGCAGAAGAAAGGTTACTGGATGGTGCTTCGGCTGAAGAGCTCCCACAGCAGTTTTTTAGTGCTCCCTGACTTTGCTATGGTGCTTCAGGAATTTAAGAAAAGCTGAAAGCCATGTCACAGCTTTTCATTCCTCTCTTCATGTTTCTATCAGGTCAAAGGTCTTGCTGTGGCTCATGGATCTGTTCAGTCCTTGTGCAGCTTGTCTGTAAGTTGAACAGCAATCTGCCTTCAGGGGTTTGCCAGGGTGGTCACAATGCCAGTGACACCAGAACTGACTTTGGACAAACAGGAGAATCTGTCACTTAACCTTAGGGATGGAGTGGATACAGTTAAGACTAAGACACTTGCAACTTAAAGCCACAGTTTAATCTACAACCCTCTGCTGGAGTTACTCTGCAAACTGTAAGAGTATCACTTTGAGAAGAAGAAAAATGACAGATTCTGGGAGAGATTTTGGCATTTTCAAGACTGCCATGTCACTAAGATTGCAGGAGAAACATGTAAGCAAGAGTGCAAGAAGGTCTAGGTTATTACAAGAAGCTGGCTTGTCATTGCAGCAACGAATAGCTCTTTGTGACTGTTTTTGCTACAGGTTTATAGTCTGTCCTGTCTGAGGAAGAGGGAGAATCAAGCTGCTTTTTTACAGAGAACAGGAGCAGGTTGCCTAAAAAGAGTTCTGCTATTCCTATTTCCTAGATCATATTGCTGCAGGATGAGACCCAAACCAGTCCACCCTCATTTTACAACCTGGCAGCTTCAGCTGATGTGCAAACTCCTCAATAATATTCTGGATTTCTTGTTCTCTGGGACTGTTTGTGTTTCCCCATGGGAAGTGGGCAGCTCCTGGTCCAGGACAGAACTGATTGATCAAAGTCTGTTGAAGCAACGTGAAGGAAGGTGGTTTATGTAATGGAACAACCAAGTTCCATCTCATTTCTGTGGAGAGATCAATTGCATATCTTATACCAGCACTGGCAAAAGGTGGACAGAGATCTTCAGGAGTAGCTATGGCAACACTCAGGCAACATAGGCCCAAGGGTGTATGTCCTGAGTGAGGTCTGGATAAGCACAGCTATTAACCCTAAACTTTCCTTGGTTATGGGATTATGCCCTTTACTTCTATTAGAACAAAATCAGACTAAATTTTAACATGGGGCTCAGCTGATGAACAGACACTGCAGACCTCTGAGTCCTGTGGCCTGCACATATTTGAGAACATCGATGGAGCAGGAAAGACAAGCCAAACATCCCTCTACAAGTTCTCTCTCTAAAGGATATTTTGGAGTAATGTTCATATTCCCTGATACATGAGGAAAGGTGATTTGGTAACAGCCTATTAGACACGGATGAGGAGTGGAGATGGCCAGGGATGATGCCCAAAGAGTCCGGCATCAAAAGCCACCGTTTTGTCCAGTGACACCCACGGTGTCCCAGCTGCAGTGACGGTGTCCCAGCTGCAGTCTGTGCACACACTCCTTGCTCCCCCCTTCCAGGGTCCACACACACATACTCACCAGAGCAGTTCTTCTAGAGCATGGCAAGAAACCAGCAAAGGATATCTGAGCAGACAAACTCTTGAAGGCTGTTGAAGAACTTGGATTAGTTACACAGCTGCTGGCTTGGCTTTCCCCTGCTACTTGAAGCTCCAAACAGGATGTGAAGGCAGAGTTCTGGCTTGTTTTCTCTTGTAGAGCAAACATTACCCTGGTGCAGAGAAAGTCCTGTACCACTAGGATCTTGGCTGTCAGTTCTCTACTGCAAACTTTTTTCAGTTCCTCCTCGTAAAATAGACAAATTGGTATATTTCTCTTCAAAATTATATGAGTCTCAGGGCACAAATATATGCAGAATGGAAAGGTTTTTGAATTTGCATCTACAGTGCCTCCCTGTCCTGGACCAGGTCAAAAGCAATGCCCGTATATTCTTATTTTGCAAGCATCTCAGTTTTTCATTCAAATGTAAATTTTAAAACATGGCAGAGGAAGAATATTATTTTTGGTCCAATCTAATATTTTAATGTGTGTATCACAGAATTTTGTGGTGAGATGCCCATGACAAAACTGCACCAAGGGTTGGTATTTGGGTATGGGCCAGAATGGTTGTATCCATAAGGCTTGCAAGACCCAGTCTTGCATAAAAACCACATTTTTCTTACCACAAGCTGGTGTGCAAAAAAGATGAGCTTGACTGCTTGTTCACCATGTAAATAGTCTGTAAATTGAGGACTGAGTGTTCAAGTATGACATTAAGACTGAACTAAAAGAGCACTTGGACATTACCTACAGTGCCTGAGTACTGCTGACTATTCCATCAAATAGTTTTAGCAAGATTAATTGACAAGTCAAAAGTCATGGAAGAACATTCTGTGACTGATCATAGAATTTAAAAAAATTCATGGAATGAAAATCTGTAAAGGCTACTGAACACAAAGAGGCTTTGTCTGTTGTAGAAAGTCCTAGCACACACTACCTCTGGAACCAGAAGAATTTAATGGAGAAGCAACAAAGACAAAACTTTTATTCTTCCCCAGCTATCTGCTGTATGTCACCATCACAACTGAAATCCTGGGTGAAATGGAATTTTGGTCTCAGCCATTACAGCTTTACTTCCCACTAAACAAATAAACACATACAGAAAAAAAGCCTTCTGAAGAGACATACTTTTTATACTGCTATGTAAGATATGTTCAGCCCTTGTTGAACTGTACAGAATTTGCCATGCCTAAGAAAAATATTTTTATCTGTAGGTGCTCCTGTTTAGGAGGAGGAAGTAAATTTCAGTCACAAAAATTCACTGAACTGATTAGGGTAGTCTTGCTATGCTCTTTGGACATGAATTGCACAAATTCCTTGTTATATAAAGGAGTGGATAATGCAAGCACACCTGCATAATGAAACTGAAGTTGTCCTTTTTTTCACTAACCACCAGGAATTGAATTGAAGACAGATGTAGGTCACACTTGTTAGCACTGAGCCCTAGCAGGGACCCTTCTGGGTGCAGTTGCTCTAGGGGATAATTAATTCAGACTGTAATACCTCACACTTGGACTTCCTTTTAGCAGAGATTAGGCTGCCACTGCTGAGAGATTATGATTTTGCCAACATATAAAGATGGATTCCAGTTTTTGACAGTCTACTCTGAAGCCTATAAATGCACTCCAGGTCAGCTCCAAACTGGAGCAGAAATAGAGGAAAGAGCCAAGACAAATGTTGTGTACAACTGCCTGGCTGCTAACGTGATAGATGAGAGCAGAGTCACACTGTACTGGCATTTTTCTCTTTTTGGTCTTTATGTTGGTGATGCATATGCAGCATTTAGACTGCACATATTAATTTCTCTTCAATGGACAAATGAGATTAATAAGTAAGCAGGTGAAGATATGTTTTACTGATGCAAGTGTTGAATCCTACAACTGTCAACCAAAGCCCCAAATAATTTTACATTCACTGCAAAAGCTACAATCAAATTCCTGTTCTCCTAAAATGAAGTTATACCTCTTTATGAATGAAAAATCTTAATCTAAATGGCCTAAAATCAACAAAATCACTATACCCAAAGGAATAAAAAGCATTTGCATTTTAGAATATTACCCAGTTATTAAAAAAATTAATTGCTGTCAGCTTGATTCAAAATGTTGGCTCCAGATTTTACATTGATATTATAAACAAAAAAGTATTGAGACATTCCTTGTTTTATTATACATACCATATTACACCAAATATTTGCCCTTAGTTATCATATCCCTTGTTAGACCAAGTATTTTCCCACAGACATTTTTAAAAAGTCAGAAGACATATAAACCCATTTAGTTGTAGTCTGTAAATACAATGTAACACTTCCCTTCATATTTTCTGTTTAAACCTATTTCAATCAGTTGGCTGCACATTTCACTACTTGTTTGCAAACTTTTTAGTTTTTACTGAAGTTCGTTTGTGGATATGAAAATCTGAAATAACTTCTAAGACGACTTCATGGTTTATGTTGTTTCTCTTCTACTAGTTTACACTAATTTTATACTACTTTCCTTGGGAGAAGCTGATCCACCCTAGCAAAATCATGCCCAAGAAAATCATGCTGGAATGGGAGACTGAATGACTCCAAGACTGTTTGCTCTCACCTGCTCTTTGTGCCCCACAAAAGTGCTATTTGCACAGCCAGGAAGAATGGTGTTTGACTAGTCTGGCTGCTCTTCAGAGATCACTAAATTCACTAACTCCCATCAGGCTGAAATGTTCTTAAAAACAGTGACAATTAGAAAGATCTACAAAGTCTTTTTTAGGTTGCTCTAAGAGCTCGTGATCTTCCAAGCAGAAATCATCTAGAAATACATGCAGAAGCAGGAGAATGAACAACTGTGAAAAACTGTCACTGACATGAGGTGGTTCAGCAGTTACTCCATGCAATGCTTTGACTGCAGAACACAGAAATAATTTAAATGGTTTAACAGTAGTGCTGCTCTGCCCTGGCAGGCACCAGGCCAGCATCAAGAGGGAATGTCTCTCTCAGCAGGCAAGCTCTGCTCTCCCTACTTCAGGTGCCCAACACCAGCCCCACCAAACTCTGCCAAACTCCACATTAGCAAGCCAGGAGGAAACCCACAGAAGAATTTCCAGAAGGACAAAAAACCCATCAGGTGTGTCAAATCTCTGACATTCAGAAACCATTTGGGGAAAGCAGCACACGCTGACTTAAGCACTAAAGTATGGATGCTTTAATTAATCCGGGGTGAATTTAATTGCTTTAGTTAAGTGGAAATCGGGTTAAAAATGATGCAGAGCATGCTGGGGTGTGTTAAAAACATGACATATGAGCTGGATGAATCGATAAATTAAAACTGCACAGATGTTTTAATTAAACCCAGGAAACTTAACGAAGATCACTAGAGACTTTTAAGCCTATGATTAATTCAATTCATTTAAAATACCTGTAGAGATATGGGGATGCCTCCATTTTGGGAGTTCTCAATCGATAAGTACTTAAGCTGTTCTACAAAAAAAATGGGATGATTTTTATAGAAGTGACTGGACAGCATTAACTGCACAATTAATATTTACATTCTTCTGAACACTCAGCAAACTTTTGCTTTGGCTCAAATTTATCACAAGGGTAGTATTTTTTCTCATGCCTTCAGCGTGAGCCTATCAGTCAAAAAGAAAACACTTGCTGTTCCCTCCTCGACCATTGTACAAAGTATCTATTTCCATTAGATAATTGCTTAGGTTAACAACTGTTACAAAAAAATCTATGTAAGAAATATAAATGTGTTTTCCCATACTAGCACCAATTTCCAGAAATGCTACAATTTTTTAAAACAGTCTCTTAGAGGTTGCTCAGTTGGTACAAGTAAATTTTGCTTGATTATTTAACCCCTGTGATATTTTCAGTAACAATAACAATGCAGTCCATAAGAATAAGGAAATCAAAATGAAGCCAATATCAAATACCTCAGAACTGTTTTAATGGTGGACTGAGAGGACTGAAGCCCCATTACTGCTTTTGTGAAGATGAGCTTGGACAATCTCACTAACCACCAACAAAGATCTTAGATGAAGTTATTGGAGTGTTTCAGTGGGAGGGAAAGAGGCCACTGTTCTGTCTCCCTGGAGAAGTCACAGCTGCACATAAAAAATATAATTTCAAGTGGCATAAAACAAGCAACAATTTGGAGATGGAGGAAAAAGAGGACATTTGAGTGCACTGACGCCTGATCAATCAGCTAGCTGTGCCAGGAGACAAATGTCCTGAGGACTTTGTTCTGTCAGTACATTCTGGATTCAGCTCTTGGTCAGCCTGGTTGTTTCTTTCTCCAGCATGGCAGAAGCTCTGCCACTGTCCCTGCCTGTGCTAAGGGAAGACTGCAGTTCCCCACGCAGCACAGAAGGAGATTTGCAGCCAGTCCAGATCAGGTCCTGCCTCTCTGCTACCCCGTTAAAGAGCAACACAGCTCAATCTCTTTTTCACATGCATCAATGCATTCAAGGAAATGGAAGTTCCCTTCCTCTGGTTCTGACTTATCACAGAAGAACGAGACTGATCACTTTGCCACTTATTTTATGACTTCAAAAAGGAAGGAAAAAACCCAAACCAACCAACCAAACTCTTTTTTTCTGTGAGTAACACAAAATCAGAGCTGTGAAATTTCTGGTTTAGATATAAGCAGTGAAGTTGATACAAGAGCATGCAGAGAAACAAGTTTTACTTCCTACCAACAGATGGGAACCAACAGATGTTGAAATCAGCTACTGTCAGAGACAGGCATGTAGATATTCATTCCTATGTTTTGATAACTTCATCACTAGGAAAACTGCGGAGGAAGGCACAACTAAACTATTTCAGAGTTTTCAGATGCTGTCTCAGTGGAAATAGTCAGTGAGGAGTCAAAGAGATGATGCTTCAAAAAAGCAGCAGAGATGATGCTCACAAAAAGGACAAACATTAAACACCAGAAATTCCCTTCCAAACATAAGTGTTGTGATCCATAACAGAAAAAGCACTAACTGCACAAAGTCACTTATGCTTTAGAAAAAGGAACAACAAAAAGTGAAATATTTCTTGAAATATTTTTGATAAGTTTTACACCATTTCCAGTGAATGCTGTAAAAATTATTGCTCCTGTGGTAATGGCTTAGCTCTGGCTAAACAGCAGTGCAGTAGATGCAGGACTGCACCTACAGGCTGCAGCATTCAGGGTATTTAAAAGCCAGGCTGGTTTGGTTTCATTTTAGTTACTATTATTTGCCTTGTTAAATTTACCAGAAAAGTTAAATCATAACATGCTTAACTGCACAGTTCCACATTAGCTGCAGATATTTAAACATTTTTCTGTGTTTGAATTAGAGAATTTTTTGTTTGTTTGAGAAAGTGAAGGGGGATGACAGTTAACTGAATTTAATCTTACTGAAGTAAGGACTAAATATAGAAAAATATCTAAATTACAGTTTTGAATCCAGATATAGTGTAGGTGGGAAAAAAGTTATGCATGGTGAAATCTGAAGCTATGATTCAGGGCTGTTTCTGTTATTCAGGGCCGGCAAATGTCTAAGGATGTCTGACAACAGCTGCATTTCTATAATGTGATTTACAATACTACTTAATCATAGTCGCTTCAATGACATTTACCATCATCACAAGGACTCCAATATGATCCCAACACAACTGCCAAAATGAACCCTTAGAACTTAACGAAATAAACACCAGTACAATTCCAGGGAGACAAAGCAAAGTAAAACCAAAGTGTAGATTGCAACACAATTAGATAAACTAACCAATTAAGCACAAAAACAAATTACAAGGCATACAGCACAGCAAGCACAATTCAGCTCAGCAGAGCAGAGTGGGAGCAAAGAAATTCTTGGCCACCAATGGAAGCATTATGAAGGAAAAAAAGCTTTTTGGCTGGCCAGAACTAAGCTACACAATGGTTTTTGCCCTGCATGTATTTATATGGATGTCCACTTCCTCGCTGTACCCAGAACCTTTTGAAATATTCTACTTATTACTCCATTGAAACAGAAGATATTTGTGTAAATAGATGTGTCTGTGCTACACATATTTAAGAAGAGAAGAAAGAGAAGTAACTGATAACACAGCAACCTTCAAAGGCAGCTGTGAGAGATCAAATGAATGTACCCAGTTTTTATTAAGTATGAAAATATTACATAATGCTGTTGAAGAAAAATCCATTAATAAGATTTTACTGTGTTTCCATGTGCTATCCACCTTGGACATCACAAAGCAAACTTTCTTATAACACTAAGCCAATAAAATTTGGTTCCAGTTCAGCTACAGTACTTACTGCCTGTGGCTCCCATTTAGTCCCTGAGTCCCTCAGGTGGGGTAGTGAATGATCACACAAAAATACCTGAGTGTTTGCTGAAATCAGAGAATTCCTTACATGCTCACTTTTTACCTATCATGTTTTGTCCGTCACAGTGACTTCTGTCAATTATTTTCTTCTTCCTTCACTACTGAATTCCTCAGTATTCCCCATTATTTTTTTTCCTTAATCCTTTTTAGCTTTGTCTGAAATTTTCTTCGGCAGAATAAATCTGCCTTCTTAGCTGCACCACCATCCTACAAGCTCTTTGGGAAAAGGAATCATACATAATTTCAAGTTCATAGGCTACAGCATGAACTCAGAAATATATGAAAGGACAGTGCAATTCATATGCACAAATGGGCCTATATGTTTATTGGAGGCTTAATACAGGAGACATGCTAATAAATTGCTACATGAGATGCAACTATTAGGTGTAGTTAACAACATTAAATACATTTCTTTAAAAAAAATTTAAAGCATTTTTGTTGCCCTGTAGAGGCCCAACCATAACAAAAAGAATGAAGGATGTATTTCTAAACAACAGGGGAATCCCCACTTAAAATGATTCAGGACAAGATATTTTGCAGATAAATTCTTTACAACCCTAAATTCAATGCTGGAATCAGCAGAAGCCATAGAAACTTTAAAAATAATGTGAAGTTAATATTTTGCATGTTGAAACCTATATTCTTAAAGTATGTTTTCTCAAGTATTCCCAATGCTACAAGCAGCTCCTGGGTGCTATTTCAACTTTGCAAATATTGTCTTACAAAGAAAGCAGAGGGTATGAGCAGCAGTTCCAGCCTGGTGCAGGAAAGGAAGCAATCTGAGCGCTGCTAATCCTCCTGTTCAATCTACACCCCATTGGAGGGACAGGTACACATTCCTAGGCAGCAGTGAAATGTTATGATGTTAAATGCCTTGTATTGTAAGAGAAATTTAACAAGGTAACTGTTGTAGAATTTCAGAGCCCAGCCCTTCCAGCTCCCTGTTCTTACTTCCAATCTCCAGGAGGATGCAGGAGGATTGATGAGGGAAGCTCAGAGCAGACACAATGGCTCCTCTTACCCCGAGCCCCTCCTGGAGCCATGGCCACTAACAATCTGAAAGAATTCAGCCTGTGACCTCTGCAGCCCTTGGCTCCTCTTTAAATTGCCAATTAGAAAGAGTTGCAGTGATGGATTTTGTGTTGGCTCTCCTTGTCTACCTGACACTGGATCAAAGCTCCTATCTCATTTCATGCAGGCCAGCTAGCAGCTGATAGACAGCAATGGCTGTCAGTCATTGTCAAAATAGGTTGCATGTCTATTTATTTATTCTGTAATTAATTTTAGGCACAGTTAATGGCACAAGCTCCTTTTTAGGTGAAATGCAGTTCTGTAAAACCAAGAAAAACAAGGGCAGGCAGGCAATCATTGCCTTGTACATAAAAATCTGGAAGGCAACTGAGGACATGACCAGTTTGCAAGAAATGAAAATAGCCTGCTAATAAAATATGAGACTGGTAAAACAAGAAGAAAATTTATAACAAAGGCATTTTAAGGTAGTGAGTCAGAGAGGTGAGAACTGCTGAAGGGGAACACTGCCAAAGACAGCCTTGTCTGTTCAAGTATCAAAATGATGCTTCCACCCACTGTGAGAGATTTGAGTGACAAGCCAGGGCTGTGCTGCTGCTGCAGCACGCACAGAAGTTGGCACACATACACACAAAAATACACAAAACCCAAAAACAAACCCACCCAGAAAGAGCTACAAAGAGAGAAGCTGAACATGCTGAATTCTGTCAACTGCAAGAAAGGATGTGAGATATGTGTGGGTGACAAGTCAGGAATGCAGCATTTCCAGAGAAAAGCACTTTTTTTTCCCCTTCCTTCAACAGTACAGTGTAAGTGTAAGATGATACATGCTATGATTAGGAACATCTAAAATGCTTACCAATAGTTATTTCTTCTTTGATTTACCTTTCTTTCTCTATCTCACTTCTTCTCAGACCTACACTGCATTCTTGCTCTATCAAAGATGGAAAATACCATAATTCTACTTTTCAGTAAGGTTCATAGTCTGGATTTTTTTTATTTTTTACTCATTTTCTTGCCTCACATTCAGGTTTTGAAAAAGTTTTTACAGACATTTTTCTGCATTCCATCTCTAGGTCAGAATTCTGCCCTGGCTTCCAGTAAATAAAATCTACATTAAATAAACACCTTTTTCTCCACATTGATAAATTCAGTCTTCAGTCATGTTTACATGCAACACTGCTTCACTAATCATACTGTTAATTTACTAATCTAACCTTCAGCTGTGTGTGTGGCTCTTCTTTTCCAGTCTTGTTTCAGCTCTTTTATCTTATGGAACGTGAGCTTCATGTTCTAACTTCATTTACAGACCCCCTTCACCCCGCACTGCTCACTGCTTGAATTCTGACTTCAACCTTTCTAGGACTTAGGAGAGGATGCTTTTGAAACTGAAATTTTAGAACTGATTTTTTTTTTGAGCTGTTTCCTATGCTCAGTCTCCCCTCTGAAGGACCCATTTTTCCTCTATAATCCACAAAGATGTTATTTGCCCCACCACCCCTCTTTAAAACTGCCTTTACCACAGTGCTCACACCAGTCACGCTGCTGGTGTGTTTATAACACTGCATTATCACCACTTTTTCCGTATCTCCATATCTGTTAATTGGTTCCCATTCATTCCCTTTAAACTTGTATTGAGGTGGTACATCCCTGGAGTCAGGTGCTGCTTTTATTTGTTTGCTTTGCATGTAAAGGATTAACCACAATAGGTCACCTCTAACTTATATTATTGCTCAGGACAACACTGTAATAATGCCACAAACCTGGCACTTTTCCTATACTGCTGCTCCTCTCCAGCTGTTTGCTCTGCAAACCCTTCTGGTGATGGCATCACCATGTTTGACCCACCCTCCCTCATTTCTCTGACCCATAGCCTGTTATTGCATTTGCAGGGAGCCACTTGAATAGTTCAAGACCATTCCCCAGTTTGACTGTGCCATGGAAGACCCTCAGCTCCCATCTCCTCTGTGGGGCCATGGCCACGTGCAGGGCAGGCAGAGGAAAAAGGGATTCAGCATCCCCTCACCTTTTCCTTCAGAGTGCAGGGAGCTTCTGTCTGCTTAAGCTATTTCCAGTTCCTAGAACTTCAAGCCAAGTTATGATGACAAATAGTGTTTTCCTGACCCACACAGAGAGGAAATACACACTCCTATACATTACCAGCATGTGCTGGACATCATTCATTCCTGTGGGCCATGTGCTCTACAGCAGTGAACCAAGTACTGAGGTATTCTGCAGGATGCACCCCAAAATTTTGTGTTGTCCCCACTGAAATCACTCCCAGAACATTGTATGCCACTGACAGCATTCTGGACATGGCACAAAGACAGCAGTTTCAAGCAGTGTATTCAATGGATGAAAAAACATTACTTTATGCACTGTTGTCCAAGCAAGAAGCCTCTGAAAAGCCTCAGAGCAAGACGAGTCTCAAACAACTGAAATTAGGTAACAACTGAAAAATGCAAGAGTTGCTATTTCTAGCAATCATACCTTACTTACCTAATAATTGTCAGCTTTTTACATTTTTTTATACAGAGATTAATAGCCCACACATAACAAAGAAAATGGCAATGGTAGGAACTCTTCCTGTGGTGCAAACAGCAAAATCCATTAGAATAAATTTAAAGAGAGAGAGACTACACGTTACAGCTTTGAAACTATTTCAAACTAAATAGATGTTGCAAAAGAAATAAAAAGAAATTTAAAAAAACCTACCCTTCTTTTTATACTTATTAAAGTGGCGCCGTCCTTTGCCAGTAAGCCAAAAACAAACAGAATGAAAATAAAATAATGAAAAACCCACACAAGGAGAACAGGAAAAGAAATTGCTAATAACATAAATCCGAATAATTAGAGTTTTTAAAATCAGATTAAAAAGTCAACTGATCAAACATCGCACAAATTTTTGGTTTAAAAAAATCCAAAAGCCTTCATTTAATTTAGATTAAAATATTAAACATGTTTCTTATTACATTGCATAATCAACTAGAAGTATCTGCTAAATGACAACTTCATGGCAGTTGACATAAGCTACTTGACTCCATTTTTGTCCTTCTTTCACAAATTGGACACCATCTCTTAGCAGGCTATGCTCATCATATCAATGTAGAAATCCTATGTGATGGTGCATTGTTCACCTTTTCAGATTAGCTAAAGATGCTTATGATGCAAATCCAAGTATTTTAAAATGCAAAATTAAAGGAGGTTCTGTTCACAGTTGCAAAACAGCATTTGACAGTGTCTTTGGAAGTGGTTTTGTTAAAGGAGTGGAAGAGTTGCATGCCCTTCAAATATCTTATGAGATGAAATGAAATTATAGCCAAGTCTGAGTCACTTCTAGAACTGAACTCATTGTAGCACGGAACTCCATTCCCAAGTGGTGAAATGCAAGACGTGCTGAAGGATGCCTGCCTGCAGATTCACCACAGACCTTGAAAATCCAAACCATGATCAGACATAAACAGCAAGAATTCTAAGAAAGAGGGACTTCTTGATATACTTCAGTGGTTTTATATCACAGAACTTACAGAAAAATAGAGATGAATAGAAAAAGGTGCAACACACCAAAAAATTAAGTTAATCACAGCTGCGTGTCTGATCCTTTAATTGATCCTTGGCCAGAGAATCACTTTTCACCAATAGCTCCTACACATAATTGTGGACAAGAGGTTACTCACAGTGCAGTTCAATTCACAGCAAATCTTCCACTGGCTTTAACTGTACACACTTGCTTTATCAGGACACATCTCTGCATGGAATTATCCTTTGATTATCAGATTTTCTTTTTCTTTGTATGCCATATCTTATCCACAGGAGATCAAAATGTATCATTACCTTTTTTGTATGTTAGATGAAATTCTTTAACCTTAATAAGGATAAACTCCAAAGGGAATCTTGCCTAAGCAAGAATGCAGTAAATCTGCTGATACTGAATACCAGATAATAAGCTATTTCCACAGAATGAGAATGAGAATGAGAAATACCTCACACAGCGTTAGGCAGGAGTGTTTGAGAGAGTGAAGTTTGTTCCATTTCAATCAGGGTAGGAAAGTGTGTTACAGCCTGTGGGTTGGGCCAAATGTTCATCTCTTTCCAGTAATTTTCATAGTGTTTTCTTGAAGCTAATGGATCTGAAGTTAAATCTGTGCTGACTCTCACAGCTTTCCTCCATTTTTATCTTTTTGAATCACGTGGATGGAGGGGTCCCTGTGCACTGCCTCCAAATGGTTTGCAGAGACTCCCCTGATGTCTCACTGCCTCTGATGGCCTCAGGATCAGCCCTGGGATAAAGGATTGTATTTCCTATCTGTCAGACTTGGGGTTCACACAAAGGGAAGCACTCAGACTGGTACTACTGCATGGACCAAGTTCTAAAAGCCATCTGAGGAGCTTGCTCACATTTTCTCCACATTTCTCTATTTGAGTCTTGCCTCAACTTATTTTATTGTGGAGAAATGAGATATTGAAAGATGCATTTCTAGGGAAATAATAACTGAAAAAATGAAATTGAAAAAAACATTATCCTTCCATACTTGTGACAGTTCAAATATAAATGTAACATTATGGTAGATTTACATTAAACATGTGTCTATACATGTAATATGATGCAAAAGATGTAATTCTCTATCTCATTTTACTGTGCTTTACCCTACATAGAATTCAAATATTGATTCCTGTGTTTTGAAACTCCTCTCACATATGAAGAACATTCAAGTAAGCAGAAAAGCCTGTGGCAGTGAGAACAGGCATGAAAGAGGTGAGGCAAAAGGCCCTTACACCCAGCTCTCAGGATAGCACTGTGCAGCTGTTCCAGCACAGAAACACCAGTTCTGTCAACACAACCATGTTCTCATTTTGTGCAGTTTTTCAAGCTTCTTTGTTCTTTAGAAATACCATGATGTCTGACAAGAGAACAGTACAAGAGTTGAAGGAAGCTTCCATGAAACCATTTCTGCTTTTGAGGGGAAAGAGACAACACAGAAAGGACAAAGCAGGAAGCAGAGGGAATGCACTGAGGGGCAGGAGAAGCCTGACAAATAGTTTGACAAGCACCCTATTCAAAAGCTATTTATCTGTCACAGCCTGAACAAGTATTTTCTAGCACTAACACAGCATACAGTGCTACACAGAGGTTCAGTAGACAATGCAGGATTTCTCCACAACTCAAAATGCAAATGAGTTGATATAATGGCCATGTATGTGTGAAGGGTGGCAGTGAAGCACACAGTCACTGCATGCATACTTTCACAGGTTAACACCACAGAAATGCACAGAGCTGTCAGTCTGTATTTATAGCTCACATTATCACACCATTTACTTTGTGCAATACAGATATCTCCTCTCCAGATTTACTAGCTGTCTTAATTTCTCAGGTAATCAAACAAATGAACAGGGCAAGTGCTGAAATAGCAGTCTTAGCTTTTCAAGCCCCTTGGAGTCTCTATTCATCTTTTTTTTTTTTTTTTTTTTTGTTTTGCACTGGGGCACCTTCAAGAGCCAAATGTGGAGACAAAGCCCAGGAATTTATTCACTCCAGTACAACTAAAGCAGCTACTCAATGAGTATTTCATAGACACAGGGATATGCCACAGGAGTGACAGAGGAACTCACCTCACGACTGCATCAGGAGTCGAAGAAGAAAGGAGCAAATTTCTAAGGCTCTTCAAGTTATTTCAAAAAGCTTTCAAACACCAGGCTTTTCCCCTTGGAACACTAACAACCCCGTGGTAAGAATGATATTGATAGTGTGCCTAAATCTCACACAAACTAAGAAGGAAGCAAATTGTAAAATGTTCTGAGTGTGCTCAGAGGGGAATACAACCAAGCCACTGAATTTAGACAACATATCTGCTACTGCTGTGCAAACTAAAGAGGTCCTTCTTTATGAATCCTTTCCCTAAGACTGCTATCCAAAACTCTCAGAAGAACTTAATGAGCACATACTGACAATCCATAGATGTCATTTAGATTTCTACTTAATCCTTTGTAGCAGTGTATTTCCCAGTTTTAGTTGTTAAAATTTACAATTGACATTTCAGAAAATTTTTATTTTAAGATTTTATCAGGTCCTACCTATTTTTCTACAAAAGGTAAAGTTCCTTCGGTCAAAGAGTAATTTTATATTCAAGAAAGATGCTTTGTACTAGAAGTAAGGCTCAGGCAAGCCAGAATATATACTACACTCTATCAATGAATACAATCAGTCTTTTCTTGCAGGCCAGCTAATGATTATAGAAAGCATCGATAATTCATCCACTTTTCCAGAATATTTTCTGCCACTGTCTACTACCTTTGCCACAAAAAAAAGGCTGTAGCTATGCAAGGTCATTGGAAATGTGGCAATACTTCCTCTTGAACGCATTTAACTCAAGATCTAAGAATAAAAAAAGCAAATTGTTCTACTTGAATCTAGCTCAGACCCATGCTAGCTAGCAGGCACTGTAGATCAATAGATCACAGACACACACTCTGGTTATTTGTAAATATAGGGAAAATGATACCTTTAGCACAATCTGCTCCATGAAATCCTGG